CGAACCTAACAAGGGGATACTGCGTGGTCTAAAACTAGGAAAGGTATGCTTTCACCATAACTACTTAACCTGTATGCTGAGTAAATAGTCCGAGAAGCTGGACAATATGAAGAAGAGCATGGCATCAGGATTGGTGGAAGCCTCATTAACAACCTGTGATATGCCGATGACACATCCTTGCTTACTGAAAGCGAAGAGGACTTGAAGCACTTACTGAGGAAGGTCAAAGACCACAGCCTTCAGTATGAATTACACCTCAACATACAGAAAACAAAATTCCTCACAACTGGATCAATAATAACCAATAATCCATGATAAACGGAGAAAAGCCTGAAGTTGTCAAGGGTTTCATTTTATTTGGATCTACAATCAACGCCCATGGAAGCAGCAGTCAAGAAATCAAATGATGTACTGCATTGGGTAAATCTGCTGCAAAAGACCTCTTTAAAGTGTTGAAAAGCAAAGATGTCACTTTGAGGACTAAAGTGTGCCTGACCCAAGCTATGGTGTTTTCAATCACCTCACATGCATGTGAAAGCTGGAAAAAGATTTAGGAAGACCACAGAAGAATTGATGACTTTGCATTATGGTGTTGGTGAAGAATACTGAAGATGCCATGCAGTGCCAGAAGAATGAACAAGTCTCTCTTCAAAGAAGGACAGCTAGAGTGCTCCTTGGGAGCCAGGATGATAAGACTTCATCTCGTGTAATTTGGACGTTATGAGGAGGGACCAGTCCCTAGAGAAGGACATCATGCTTGGTAAGGTAGAGGGTCATTGAAAAAGAGGAAGACCCTTGATGAGATGGATTGACACAGTGGCTGCAATAATGAGCTCAAACATAGCAATGATTGTGAGGATGGTGCAGGACGTGGCAGTGTTTTGTTCTGTTGTACATAGGGTCGCTATGAGTCAGAACCAATTTGACGGCATCTAACAACAATCTATCATCTATAATCACTATCATCTATATCTATCATCTATTTATCCATATATCATCTATATCTTTTGATCATCTATAATCTCTATCTCTGTCATCTATAGTATCTATCTACCTACCTCTCTTCTTAAAAAATAGTATCGTGAAAGTCATTTATGCTGGAATTCTAGCCCTATGGAAGGGACAGTCCCCATTCCTCCTTCCCAGTCTTACACCCAGAGGTAACCAGTTTGGGGTGAACAAAAACACAGACACAGACATATTGTCCTGCCCTAGACTGTAAGCTCAGGGAGGGCAAGGCCCTGTACCTGACAGTGCTGTCCCCGAGCCCACGGCCACATTAAGCTCTGGACAATCAGGCCTGAAAGAGGAAATTAACTTGTTTTTCCCACTTCAGGCTGAAGGGGACTGACTCTCTCCTGTCTTAGCACACTGCCACCTCCCTTTCACTGGCAGCCCAGCTTTCTGCTCTCCTGGAATGTCGACCCTTTGATCTCTCCTGTGCCTGGGTGCTCTCCCCCACCTCCTCCCACAATCCTGCAACCCTCCAGGACTTCTGGCAAAGTCTCTGTGGGTGTCATTGGGGCTGCAGGACCGTTGTAAGAGGAGGGGGCAGCAGATGTCAGGGCAGAGGTGGGGAAAAGCTTCAGACCCAGCTGGAGCCGAGGTCACCTTTTTGCAAAAGCTGGAGCTGGCCCCAGGAGTGAGGGGGAGAGCAGGTACCTGGCAGAGAAAGTCACAGCCCCAGGGCCAGATGGAGGGAGTGTTCCAGGGATGAGGGACAGGCAGCAGATCATCACATCCACCCTCTCCCCCAGAGGGAGGCTCCAGACCTACTTCCCAGGGACAGAAACAGTGTGTGGAAAATAAGCCCTCTGCAGCCAGGCGGCAGGTCTGCTTCAGAGGGAGGAAGCCCAAGGCTGGGTCTCATTCACCTTGGATGCCCCCATAACCCCTTGAGAGCTCTGGTCCTGTAGATAGGGATTTAATATCTGCTGAACTGAATTAAAATGAGTCAGATTGAAGTTCAGTGGGAAATGGCATTGTATTGATTTCCTATTGCTGCTGTAACAAATCACTTCCCAAACCACAGGCATTTATCCTCTCACAGTTCTGAAATCAAGGTATCTTCATTGCTGTGCTCCCTCTGAAGCATCCAGGGGAGAATCCTTCCTTGTATCTTCCAGCTTCTGGTGGCCTCAGGAGCTCCTCGGCTCATGGCAACACTCTTCCATTCAATATCTGCCTTTATCTTCACATGGCCTTTCCCTCTATGTCTTCTCCTTTTCTGTCTTTTATAGAGATACTCTGCTGGGATTTAAATAACCATGATGATCTTGTCTCATCCTTACCTTAATTACATTCAAAAAGGCCCTATTTCCAAAAAAAAGGTCCCATTCTGAGGTTCTGAATGAACACGAACTTTTGGGGGACACTATTCACCCCACTACAGACATTAAATAGTAAATATCACATGTATGGCAAGAAGGCGGTGGGGAGCTGGAGGACCTTGAGTGGCTTCTGTGGCCTGGCCCCAGTTCTCCCAGCTAATGAGGGCTTCCACTAGTGTCTCTGACCTCCCTGCCAGCTGGGAGGCCGGGTTCCTGGCTCCCTTTTACAGATCAGTAAACTGAGGTTCAGAGTTGAGTCATACAGTAGGCCAGAGCTGGGATGGAGTCCAGGTCTGCTTGGTGCCAGAGTTGGGAGTTTCACAGCCGGGCCAGGCTGAACTGAGAAGTTCAATGCTCACTAGCTGAGCCAGATCCTCCCTCTCCGAGGAACTTCATCATGGGAAAGCCAAGGTGTTGAACTGCCTCGGTTTTCATGTTCCTTTGTTTCCTCAGACCTTAGATTTTGGAATTCAGGCCCTTCCCTGGACTCACTGAAGAAGCAAGGTCAAAGAGAACAAGGATTAATGAAATTATTGTCAGAAATTAGTCTGTACTGGGGAGGTAAAGCATCCTCACCTCTACTGATACGTTGGTTTCCCACCCTTGGGAAGTGATCCAGCCTTTCCCTTGTATTCCTGCTCCTTCTTTCAGTAGCTCCCACCAAGAACACTGGGGTGCCTGCAGGACAATTTGCCTGGCGGTGGGGAAGTAGGCACAAGACTCCCACCGCCCTAGCAACTGTGGCTTTCCACAACTTCTGTTCAGCTTTGAAGACTCAAGGCGGAAGAATGTTTTGTTGGGAATGTTTTGTATCTTGGACCACCTCCTGAGAAAATCATTCATTCATTTGCATCCATTCTACACATCTTTGTGGTTTACAGCCCAGAACGAGGGCTCTAAACCCACAGGGCAGGGAGGACAGCTTCCTCCAGGCTGTCCCTAGGGCTTGGGATCCGGCACACACCTGCTCCCCGTACAGCTGCCAAATGAGTAAATGAGTGAACAGACACAGGCAGGGGGAGTGTGGCCAGGAGGTTGCTTCTGGGCTCTGAGCCTCAGTTTCCTTACCTATAAACGTGGGGCTGGGATTTAGAGGTAGCTGGGTGCCCACTTCTCCCCACCTGCCATGACGCGTCTAACGAACTCCAGGCCAGAGCAGCCTTTTCCTTTCTTCTCCCAGGCTGGCTCGCTGGCTCCTGGCCGGTGTACTAGCGTTTTCTCCGTTCCACGAGCGGAGGCAGTAACTCAGTTAACGTGAGCGCTCCACTCCCTCCCCATCACCACCCTAATCAGGCCTGAAGCCAAGTCCCGGCGAGGTTTCAGAAGGAGGCGTGTCTCCATCACATCCCAGGGCGGTCCGGCCCTCTGTGAGCTCACGACCGCTCACTGGCCCGCGAGGCGTTATTGTTACCCCCTTCTCGGAGACTGCTGGGCTCAGAGAGGCCAAGCGCGCCGCCCAAGGTCACACAGCAGACGGCCCAGGGCCGAGCCTAAAATCGGGTCCCCGAGGCCCTCTCTGGCGGTTTTCGAAGCCATAGCCCACCCCCCACCCCACTTCGACGTCCGCGGATCAGACGGGAAGGTCGCGCGCCCAGCTTCCACCCAAAATCAACGCTTCGCGCAGCGGTGTGGAACAAAAGCCACGGCGGTCCACGCCGGGGTTTGCGCCTCGCCGGCCTCCGCTGGCCAATCCGCACTCACTAGCGGCCACGGGGAGGGAGGGGGCGGTTCCAGCGTGATCGACAGCCTCCTGGGAGGCGAGGCCGCGGCGGAGGCGAATCGGATTGGGAAGCCGGGACAATCACGGCGCAGAACACGCGGCCCAGGCCAATCAGCGGGGGAGGCGGACCCGGTCGGCCCGGGCTGTCGCGAGAGGCGGCCACCCCGCCCACTCCCGCCTCGGCCCGGCCGCCAAGCAGCCGCGAACGCCGCTCGCGTTATCCCTCCGCTGTTGGCG